AGCTTCTATGTGCCGAAGCAAGCATACTACCCACACACATGCACACAGTTGCACATGTGTGGATAAGGACATTTGTACACACAAATATTCCACTGAGTTATAAGGAGACCTCAGATAAAATGATCAAGACTTAAACTGCCCGTACAGTTTAAATTCCAAATAATTAGAAGGTTCCATCCTCCTAGAGATCACACTGCTAGAGTTTTAAGGGATTTAACAGGGAGATCACTGGAAAGTCTGGGAAGTACTATTTATTACAATAATAGCAAACAAAACCATTACTTTCCGTCAACCTTTGACCATGTTAACGTGTGTATCACCTCAGGTGGAGACAGTTGGCGACAAGTATATGACAGTGAGTGGTTTACCAGAACCTTGTATCCACCATGCACGGTCCATTTGCCACCTGGCTTTGGACATGATGGAAATTGCTGGTCAAGTTCAAGTAGATGGTGAATCTGTCCAGGTGAGTAAAGAAATTGAGAAGAGGATAGTAATAGCAGGACTTGGTTGATAATCAATTCATATTCCTTCTCAGGGAATGTTAACATGTACAAAGAGGAGCATCTTGAAAGCAAAGAGCCTATTTTATCTCACTCTTCCCTAGACATTGGAAATAAATTAGTTCATCTGTTCTGAGTTTCTGCTTCATTTTTTCACCGTGGAAGTTGCCCGCTCAGTGTCTTTGCCATCTTCAACTTGAGGTCTTCCTCTTTGACCAGAATATCTCTCTTCACAGAGAGAAATAGTTCATTGAAGGCATGTGAAGTAGTCTGTGAAAATGCATGTGTTAACAGTCCAGGCTATTGAAACAGAGTTTGCCTTCCCCAGATAACCATCGGCATCCACACCGGGGAGGTGGTGACAGGTGTGATAGGACAGCGTATGCCCCGGTATTGCCTCTTTGGAAATACTGTCAACCTCACAAGCAGAACAGAAACCACAGGAGAGAAGGGAAGGATAAATGTTTCTGAATATACATACAGGTGAGGACGGGGGCATCCTGCCCTTTGCAGGGCAGCGTGTGGGCGAACCGTGCAGTTTTGCTGCCTTGAGAAGGGGGCTACCTCCATGTCTCCCCTCTGCTGCTGGAATAATCTTTCATCTGAGAAGAGTGTGCCACTGTTTCCGTGGTAAATCTTCCCACACCACACTGGACATTCCCGAGACACACCATCACTAAAACCCTAAGTGCCTTTGGCCACAGTGGTAGTGTTGGGATCAGGCTGCCTTACTTCTCTCCACAACCATGAGTAACTTCCCTCTCTGCTTCACTCTTGTCTTCCAGGTGTCTCATGTCTCCAGAAAACTCAGATCCACAGTTCCATTTGGAGCATAGAGGCCCGGTTTCCATGAAGGGCAAGAAAGAACCAATGCAAGTTTGGTTCCTATCCAGAAAAAGCACAGGCACAGAGGTATCTGAGCATTACTTTTCTCTTCTTATTCATTCATTCATTCATTTTTTTCATTTTACATACTGATGTCAGCCCCCTCCCTCTCTGCCTCCCACTCTCTTCCCCCATTCTCCCCTCCCCTTCTTCTCAGATAAGGGAGCCACACACACCCATACCATTCCACCTTGCCACTTCATGTTGAGTAAGGGCTAAGCAAGTCCTCTTCCATTGAGGCCAGACCAGGCTGCTCAGCTAGGAAAAAATGGTCCAACAACAGGAAATAGATGTTCAAGACAGTTCCTGCTCAGTTGCTAAGGAACCCACATGTAGACTGAGCTGTCCATCAGCTCCATAAATGGAGGCAGGCGATCCTGGTCCAGTCCATGCATGCACTGAGGTTGGTGCTTCAGTCTCTGTAAGCCACCATGGGTCTCGGTTAGTTGAAACTGTTGGTCATTTTGTGGAGTTCTTGTCCCCTTCTCTATCCTTCCCCCAACTCTTCCACAAGATTCCAGATCTCCGTCTAATGTTTGGCTGTGGGTCTCAGCATCTCTTTCAAGCTGCTGCTGTGTAGAGCCTTTCAGAGGACAGTTAGCTGGCTCAAGTCTGGAAGCATATCAGAGCATCATTAATAGTGTCAGGGGTTGGCTCTCTCCCATGGGGTGGGTCTCAAGTTGTGCCAGCCATTGGTTAGCCATTTCCTCAAACGCTGCTGTATCTTTATCCCTGCCCATCTTGTAGGCATTACCTTTTTTTCTGAGAAAGATTATAAAGTGTGGGGGGGGGAGGGGCAGGCAGACACAAAGAAATGCACTTGGAATGAAAAGAATTCTTGCTCACAGAGAGGGATTCTTCATTAAAACGGGACCTCACTGCAGCACTGAGGAAGCAGGAAGAAGGAGATCTGCGTTAGAAGGTGCTGGAAGGTCCCTGGCTTTTCTCTTGTGATGAAGCAGGAACCAAAGCCTCCAGCTGAGCAGAGCTGAGGTGTACCCCTTCCTCTGCAGTTCAGCTCAAACAGCCCAAGCTCTGGGTCCTCAGGGATCCTTGAGATCTTCTAGGCCCCTGCTGCTCTCTGAGGTCTCTGCAGGTCTACATGATGGCCATATGTCCTGGCAGTTTTATCAGAAGCTGACAACCCTTCTGAGGATGGTAAAAGCATGTGTGGCGTGCTTGAGGGACTCTTGATGAACTGGGTTCTTCTGAGTTTCTCCTGCCTGCTTTGGGATTTTCAGAATCCAAACAATTCCTTAGAGAAGAGTTAGGTTCCCAAGGGCCGAGATTCCATGTCAGCCACAACCCACGTCAGGACTGCACTGTCCAGTCCATGCCTGGCCTCTTCACAAGGGGTCAAACAAGAAGCACAAGTACTGTTTGTTCCCTCTTGGGTGCATTTACTCTTCAGAGGGTGTGAGACGGCCTGAGCACATATCTTCTCCGGTGTGTATACATTCCCTAAAACTGTTTTCCTAGAATATAACAAATATTAAAAAGAACAGAATGCCAGCTTTTAAGTACTTACTCTCTTTTGCTCGTTTTTACTCCTCTAAGAAATTTGCTTGTGAGGGTGGCATGCTCATGGCTGCCCTTCTGAGGGACCAACTGTGTCATGTCCGTGTTCTTAGTCAGAAGATCCTAAGGATAATCTAGAAACTATAGATATAAATGCATATCCTACTGTGAGAGATAAGGAAATGCATTTGGGGATATTGTAGGTTTCATTAAGACTAAAATCAATCACATATTTTTTTTTCTACGTGTTTAAGGAAACGAACCAGGATGAAAACTGAATCTCAGCATGTGGGATGAAGGGAACTGTCAGGTTCTAGTGATGACCTCATGCGTGTCAAGCCATGGAGCACTTCTTCCCTGTGGACAGAGATTTCTACTGCCTGTTTTAGTGGCCGAAAGCTTCCTCCCAGTTACACAGTTCTTACAGATTCCATCATGTGATGTTCCCTCTGCTTCTGATTACTTTTAAGGTCTCAGACTATTTTCTAAAGTTTGGTTTTTGATGTGGGTAACTTGAGCTTCATGTTCCTTAAATTCTGCTACAAGCATTACCTAGACTGGTGATCTAAGAGTGGTAGGCACCCAATATGTATTTGTTGAACCAGATAAAATGAGATGTAATAGTATCTGGCCATGTGTGTATAGATCATGGCTCGGTAGATTTGTTTTATGCACCATCTATATGTGTATGTGTATTTTAATGACTACAACATAAAGTTTATTTCATGTTGGTGCATGTCATCCTAAATACCATTTTCTAAAGGAGTTAATCTAAGTTTTAGGAAAAATGCAATTTGTTTCTAGACTTGTAAGTAAGAATTAATATGCTATACTAAGAAAAAAGTGACTATTTTGAAGTATGTTATTTCCCTTCTGGAAATGTAAGATATACATTTCTATGGTGGCAAAATGTGGTTGCTCATTCAAATTTCATGCCAGTTACAGTTACCTACCACCTAACGTGCCCTAATGGAGTCCTTGTCTTGAGTTTCCTTGACTACTGGTGACTGTAACAAGGGTTGCATTGTTTCGCACTGAACAGTCACATTTGCTTAAGCAAGTGTTGGGGGTGGGTGTCAAACTTTATCCAAGTACAAGGCTGATAATTCATAGCTAGGACACCCTGTTAGAGCTGGCTTTGGCCTATCTTCAGTCTTGAGTTTCCTTTATTAGTTTAGAAGGATGTCAACTTATCCAAGATAGCATATCCAAAATATTAATAAAATCATTTTAATTCCAACATAGAACAGACTGCATTCCCATTGGAATATTTAGCCTATCATCCTTTAAATGCCTCTGGTAATTTATTGATATCTATCTTTATAAAATATAGTAAGACTACTTTTGTGTAAAAATTTGTCTTTAAGCTTAATACTTCATATCAGCACATCAATGTATGTATAAATGTTACATGTTAATTGTGTAAAAGAATCTACAATAAATTATTTTTTCCACTTGTCCACAGTGTTTTAATTTACTAAAATGATATTGACACCACTTGCAATTTTTCTTAATCTCATATTTAAAGGCATTTTTAAATTTTGTGAGCTATCAATTAATTCTAATTTCTCTACATTTATAATTTGTTTTCAGACGTGGGTGCTGAAACACCAGGGCATGAGAGATGCTTGGCAAATGCTGTAACAATGAGCTGTACCCACTACCCACCTGTGGTATAAGTTTTTAATAGTTACCCTTAGTAATATTGTGTTTGTTTTGGTTGGTTGGTTGGTGGAGACAGGGTCTCACTCTTTAGCCGGGCTGTCCTTGAATGTAGACAGTCCTCCTGCTTTATTGTTGGGATGGTAGACATGCGCCAATAAGGAATATTCTTTAGTGCTAACAAAGAAACAGAAAGATGAAACAGAAAAGAAATATGCAGACAACTGTGAAACAACCTCAGTTGAACGTGTTCAGAGTGGTCTTGGAGTGGGAGAGGTGCACATAGATAATCAGCACACTGAGTATTCATCACCCGAAATATGCTTAATAAGAAATGATACTAAAGGAAGACTAAAGAAAATTACAATTACATTGACACCTTCCCAACATCCAGCGTATGTTTATCGAGGGTTCCTTCTGGCTTACACTGGCTTAGGAGTTAGGCGCATTCTCATGGCCTGCTCTTTATCTAGGTGCTGTTTAAGAAAAAGGCTCCAGTGGAAGAAAGCTAGTTCATGGAAATAGCACCCTTGACAAAGACTAAGAACTCTAACATGAGGTGTGCTAGGAGCAAAACATCTCTGCCTTCAAAGCATTTACATTTTACAATTTGATTGTTCTAAAATGTTGGATAGGTACAATCTGAAAATTTGCCACATCTTCCTTTAAATGACCTGTTTCATTTTCTGTCTCCATTTCACGTTCTCAAATTTCTTCCTTATATAAACTTACTTAATTTCTAGTCATTGTCTGTATCGCTTAGAAAAAAAAAATGTTACCTTAGCCAGAGTCACTTGCTGGTAGTACCTGCTCTGAGCGGAAGCACAGTAGCTGTTTGTAGATCTCTTTACTTCCCTGTAAATCTCTTACAGCCAAAATATTTCCTCTTTTTCTACATGTCCTCTGAACCACCACAACATGAACAGTTGATGAATAACCGGTGGGTGAGGGAACAGAGGCAACAGTCTGTGGCAGGGATAGAAACCAGATTTTTAGGAAGTGTGGAAAAAGTATGAGATTGGGGGAAAGAATGGGCTACAGAAAAGCTGTTACTGAGCGCTTATGGAACTGGTTCTTGAAGGAAGTGCTGCTGTCATTGTTGTGGGCTGTATTAATGGCAGAGAACTGTAGTGGGTGCTTTTAGGGAGTGTCTGTACTTTGGTGTGGGCTTCAGTAAAATGGCAGAAGGGGAGAAGGCCGATTGAGAACTCAAGTTTCCTAACAAAGTGTGTAGTAAAACATGGCCAAGAGGGGACAGAATAAACGCAAGCATGAGGCTACCTGTCCGGTCCGTCAATAACACAATAAAAAGGGAGGATAGATGGTGCAGAGGAGAAATGAACTTGGGGTTGTAGAGTGCCTATGGCTGCATTTGAGAGAGCAGTGACTGTTCTCTCAGTGTGGCAATGATGAGTAAAAAAATAAAGTTGGGCGCATAAAGCTTCAGTTTCCACTTAGTCTGTCGGCGGCCTGTGACCATGATAATCTTGCTACGCCCTCATTCTTCCATTGCTAGAAGTGGAAATACAGTAACTTTTGCTGAAATTGTTGGTTGATCTATTATGACATGAAGTTGGAACATGGGTTCAATGTTTTGAGCACATTAGAAACTCAACCCAAGGGATGCAAATTCACAAAGCCTTGGTAATGCATTGTGGACGCTGAATCATGGACAGCACGTGTCATGAGAAAACAATATGGTCAATAAGAAAAACCTGAAAAAGTATTTGAATATTCAAACAAGTACAATGAAAAAAAATTGTCAACATTAAACTCAAGTATAAAAGCAGTTTGTCAGTTCCAATTCAAGAACCATTTTCATGACTACATCTAAATATTCATGTGTATTCGATTTCCTAGATAATTGCTGCATTTTATTTGACTCACCAAATGATCTGCTGTCTTCTCTGTCTTTGAAAGGAGAATAGTTTTTTGTTTGTTTTGCATGCTTTAAGTAAGTGGGTTTCTTTTTATGCCATCTGAACCTCTAGAGGGCAGCAGAGAATGTTATCTGGCATCAAGACCATGGAGAGTTCGAGAAGGACACAGCTGCTCTCAAAGGAGGTTTCACCCTAGTAGCCAGGAACTAACAATCATTTCCTTTGTTCAGCCTTGAATTTATTCCTACATTCCCACAGAATCAAAAGAATGCCACAAAGCCGGGCGGTGGTGCCTTTAATCTCAGCACTCGGAAGGCAAAGGCAGGTGGGTTTCTGTGAGTTCCAGGACAGTCAGGGCTACAGACTGAGTTCAAGGACAGTCAAGGACACACAGAGAAACCCTGTCTCAAGAAACTCCCCCTCCCCCCAAAAATGCCGAAATTCCGTAAAACAGTCACTTTTACTCATCATGAGATTATCAAATCTGTTCTTGTATATCTTGTTTAGAAAGTTTGACCAAGTATTTCCAGCTTATTTGTAGGGAGTTCACTGACTATTAGAATAAGTGACCTGTGATGGAAGCTACAGCACGCTACTGCACTAAGCAAAGCTCATCTACCTCCCATTGAAAGCCGTCAAATGATATCAAGAAAATACGTCAAATAAGTAGTGATTTCTACAGCTGTGCACCTGTCTGTAACTCCAGGTCCAGGGGATCAGAAACCCTTGTCTGACCTCCATGGGCTCCAGACAAGCATGAGGCACATACATCCAAGCAGGCAAACATTAGTATCACATTTTAAAATAAAATAAAATAAAATAAAATAAAATAAAATAAAATAAAATAAAATAAAATAAAATAAAATAAAATAAAATAAGTCATGAAGTTTGGAGGAAGGTGGAAGAGAGGTGATCTGTGAGCTAAAAAGAGGGAGGGGGAGGGTATGGCCAAGATACATTGTATACATGTATATAGAGCAATTTTTAAAACCTTTTCTTTACATTAAATTTGAAGTTCTGTCATATTAAGCAAAAGAAATAGAGTGACGGTGACCAAAGCAGAACACACTGCTGAAGAGGAAAGATGCTGAGCCTAGTTACACTGGGGCCCTCTCCCCACAGCCTTCACAACTCTGTTTATTTGGACCCAAGTTTCTAATCTGTAGCAAGGGAGCTGATCAAGATACTATCAACAGTTAAACCATGCTCTGCATTGACAACTGTACTTTGGGAAAAGGGTGCTCATGCTCAGGCTGGGAGGCTGGTCTGGGCCTTGTGGGAATAAGATCTACTAAAAATTTGACTGCAATAACTTTACCAGTCCAGATGGAGAGACTTGAAAAATAACTTGTAAGAAGCAAAGGTCCCTAGGGCCAACCTGGTATCTCCTCTGCTGGTGTGGGGATGCTGGGATTCTTGCCTCTGTCTACCATCTCTCTGTAAAAGCACCAAGGTTACAGATGTAGGTTGCCACATCTGGCTTTCATATGGGTTCTAGGGATCCAAACTTCTGTTGGTTCTCTTGTAAAGTAAACCATTGCCCTCTGACTGTCTTTCTAGGCCCTCCTTGCCCATTCGTGCCGTAAGGATCACAACCGCCCACCAGGTAGTTGTGGATCATTGACAGGTGGAGTCGTATATGAAAGTAAAATGTCAGTTTATAAGGTATATCCCTCAAGACTCGTTGATAGTTTCCCTCTGCGCTTTCCTCCCTCACATGGACAAGCGTCAGTGGAGTCGCACATCCCCATAAAGACAACAAGCCCTAAACCTCTGTATCCTCGGTCTCCTCATTTAGCTGGCTTTGTGATGACGCAGTGTGCTGTGTGTGAGTACAGATTACAGAACTGAGAGTTCTTTCATGTCACCTCAGCGTGTGCCAGGCCTGCCACTGACTCCTCTATTCCCCTGGCAGTGTGGCAGTGCCGGGGCATGCACAGTTGGCCAGGATGAGTGTATGCCCTAGATTCTCAGACAAGGTGAGGACAAGGTCAAAAAAGAATGCAATTCTGAGAGAACACATACAGTTTGAATTCAGACTCTGACAAGAGACCTAACTGGCCTCGTTTTAAGGGGCTGGAGAGATGGCTCAGCAGTTAAGAACACTGGCCGTGCTGAGAAGTCCTGAGTTCAATTCTCAGATGGTGGCTTACAACCGTCTGTAATGGAATCTGATTCCCTCTTCTGGTGTTCATCAAAAAAGAGTGTTCATATACAAAAAGATAAATAAATCTTAAAAAAAATATGCTAGGAAATATGTTGCCTGGCATGGTGACACACGCCTACAATCCCAGCACTCAGGGAGGCAGAGGCAGGCAGATCTCTGTGATTTCGAAGCCAGCCCATTCTGCAAAGTGAGTCCAAGACAGCCAAGGCTACACAAAGAAACCCTGTTTCAGAAAACAAAACAAAAATATTCATGTATACAATGTATCTTGTTCCTCTCCACCTCCTTTCTTCCCTCTAGCTCCCATATCACCTCAAAATATCTCCCATCAAACTTCATGCCTTATTTTATTTCATTTTAAATATGATATGAATATTTGCCTGCTTGGATGTATGTGCTTCCAGTGCTTGTCTGGAGCCCATGGAGGTCAGACAAGGGTTTCTGATCCCCTGGGCCTGGAGTTACAGTAGGCAGATAGTTGTAGACCTCCATGGATGTGATGAGAGGCAAGCAGAGGTCCTCTGCAAGAGAAGTATTGGCTCATAACTACCTAGCCATCTCTCCAGTTCATCGTCATCATCATCATCATCATCATCATCATCATCATCATCATCATCATCA